CTCCTGCCTCAGCCTCCCAAGTAGCTGGGACCACAGGCGCCCGCCACAACGCCCGGCTATTTTTTGGTTGCAGCCGTCATTGTTGTTTGGCGGGCTCGGGCTGGATTTGAACCTGCCACCTTAGGTGTATGTGGCTGGCATCTTAGCCACTTGAGCCACAGGCGCCACGCCAGGAGTAACAATTCAAGTCTACTTAGTCTTTGTATGTAGAAAGTGTTAGTTTGCAAGGGACAGGAATTAATGGAGGAACTGAATTCTGTTTCCTCCTCAACAGTGTGAAAAGGTGAGAGAAACGAGAAGGAAAATTACTGTGTCTGAAACTACCAAAAATTAGGTGTACCTGAAATTTACAGCGATAATGGCTTTTCATTCTCCCTTCTAATGTGGCCTGCTTGTTTCTTCTCTGTCTTTCCCCATTCTCTTGTTCTGGTGAATTACACGTTTTGTTTTTCTATTCAGTTAGGTTGCCTTAACCTTGTACGTTACTTTTCTTTTTTGTGAGACAGAATTTCATTATGTCACCCTTGGTGGAGTGCTGTGGCGTTATAGCTCACAGCAACCTCGAACTCTTGGGCTTAAGTGATTCTCTTGCCTCGGCCTCCCAAGTAGCTAGAACTACAGGCGCCTGCCACAACACCCGGCTATTTTTTGGTTGTAGTTGTCTTGTTGTTTGGCAGCTCCTGGCTGGGTTCAAACCCTTAGCTCTGGTGTATGTGGCTGGCACCCGCCACTGAGCTATATAAGGCACCAAGCCAAAAGTGACATTTCAAACATACTGAGTGAATGTAGTTAAAATTCAATGACAGTCATCACAATTTCTTGCAACCAACATTCATAGTATAATGCTTACAACCAATGTTCTTAATTAGTGTTTAACACACACACAGAGAACTAAAAAACTTACCAATGGCAATCATTACAAATGTACTATGCTAAAATGTTAAAAATGCAAATATGTCATGAAAGTAAAGTAATAAAAACAACACTACTCATTACCAAGGTTCTTACACAAAGGTAAGCCTGTATGTATCATTCATCCTAACCATAAGGGCTTTGTAAATGCATTGAGTTTCCAGTAGAGAGACTTTTCTAGGAAAGTCAAAAATCTCTTGAAAGTTTCACATCTGTAAAACCGGGGTAAAAGCTACAACTATCTTGAAATTTGAACAAGGTATCAAATGAGACATTAGGATTACCAGCCATAAAATGGGTGGTTTTCTGTTTCTCAAATCTATCTTCTAAGTCTAGCCACTTCAATTTTTTTCATACATCTGGATAATCCTTTCTTATTAATATTCTGTTGAATATTTTCTGTTGAAACTGGTTTCTCAAAGTGGTCCAAGAACACATGCTTCAGAGTCTCCACAGGCACTTATTGAAAATATAGACTCTTGAGCCTTTTCCCATCCTCTCATTTAGTAGGTTTAGGGTAGGGTCCACATATCTGATGTATAGGCTATCTCTGCTTTAGACTGTAGTGTGTTTAAAACAATCCCTATGTACCTATGCATGTAGGTCTGGGGAATAGTGTATGTAGCAATGAATAGTGCAGTGGCATGCAAGTAGGATGTATGACTAGGCAGGCTATGGGGCTTATTAGCAGTTTGTCTATGCTTTCTATATTGATCGAACTAAAGACTATGTGCTTGTCTACACCTTTCACAAAGTCTCCTTTCTTTATAGCAAGGGGTAGCCTGTGGAAGGTAATATAAAATGCCAACTAAAGGTAGAGAACTTGTTCTTAATAGGCTTTTGTGGTAATCCTAATCTTTATGATACTTAGATCACTTGTTATTCTACTGCTTATGGCTTTTACTTTCTTCTTGATGTGTAGGGGCTAAAGTAAGTGTAGATGAAAGGAAGTACATTTGAGGCTCATGAATGATGAAGTGCTGGTGTCATTGCTATTTGTGCACGTTACTATATTTTTTATGAACTAACAATATTTATTTTGTTTTATTTTTTCTTTCTCCAGAAATAACAGTGTAATCCTTGCTGATGAAATGGGCCTTGGAAAAACCATCCAGACCATATCATTCCTCTCCTACCTGTTCCACCAGCACCAGCTGTATGGCCCCTTTCTTATAGTCGTCCCTTTATCCACCCTCACCTCATGGCAGAGGGAGTTTGAAATTTGGGCACCAGAGATTAACGTAGTGGTTTACATAGGTGACCTGATGAGCAGAAATACGGTGTGTAAACAAAAAGAGTTGGGATAGAATTTGTGTTATAAATGTATATAAATGTATAATCTGTGTATAAATGTAATTTGGAAATAGATTTAAAGTCTTTAGTTAAATTATTAGTAAAATCTTTAATAAAATTATTCTGATACTGTGCTATGTCTCCAATATTAGGAGCTATATAACAAAAATGCACCTCAGATTTTTTTTTTTTTTAACAAATATGTTTACTATTTAAAGAAAAGGAACAGCAGTGCATGAATGGGAATCTCTCTTAGCTAGATTACAGTATTAAGTTTTTCTTGTGTCTGTCCTTTATCCTCCTAAGACCACTTCATATAGGTTAGAAGATGGAGTTAATATTTTGTATAACATTAATATTATTTTTGCTATTTATGGAGAGATATTATTAAAAATAGTCATTCTTAGAATTTGTTCCCCAATCTCTTGAAATATTGAGATTGCATAATTTATAAGAAAGGAATAAAAGTAAAGGAAAGCAAGCCAGTGTAGGGCTACAAAAATGGAAGTTATTTGACTGTTACCAGACTTCATTTGGGCATCATGGATTTAGAACACAGTGACCTAAATTTATCTTTATTTAGCAAATCTTTTCTTGATAAGTACTTTTTAAAAAAGCACCTACTACGTGCCAGACCTTGTGTGGGTGCTTTATGTATATTACCTGTATTCCTCACACTAGTCTTGATGGTATTCTTTCTGACTGATGAAGGTATTGACTCAGAGTGTAATACTTGTCCCTGGGCCAGCTAGAATGTGGCACATCTGAAATTAGGACACAGGTGTATCTGGTCTAGAGGTTTGCTCCCTTTCTGCAGTCTATGAACTATTTCTGGGATATTGCTCTTAATAAATTCCAAGTCCTCAGGAATCTTCAAACACTTGAGATATCTTATATTTTCATGCTAATTCCAATTTATTTTTATTAAGTACTTCCATTAAAATTGGCTAAAGTAAACCCTGCCAGATTTCATTGCCCTCATTTTGAGTTTTTAAGAATATAATAGTTCTTAGCCTTGTTAATTCATTTGCCAACCATTAAAGGGGAAAAAGAGAGTTAAATATATATGCTTCAGAGGTGAAGGTAAATGAAGAAAGTGAACTCTTAAAAATCGTGGAGTCTGGGAAGAAAACTACTACTTTGCAGTCTCCAATATTCCTTCTCTTTGTTCTTTTCTCCACTTCGCGGCTATCAGCTGCAAATACTGACCTGTTTTGCAGTTCCTAACTTGACAGCCAAACTACAGAAGCTCCGTCATGGCTTTCGTGCTTTCTGAGTATCTTGCTTCACAATGAATCTTCAGTATAAATGTGTTGGTTGGTTTTTGTGTTCCTTTACATTTATATTATTTTTATTCTACTGAATTGCACTTTTATCCTATAAGCTTCCCTTTCCTTTTTCTTGGGGGACATACCTCTCTGGTTTATGATGAATGAAATTTCTTACTGAGCTAGAGGTTAGAATTGGTTTTACTTGTTAATAAGTGTATTTTTCTATTCAAAAGATAAACAAATTACTTAATTTTAGGAAGTTTCTAGGGATCTAGGAGATCTCTAGTTTAGTTCAGCTCACCAGAATGATGAGATGACTTTAAGTGCTGACACAATGACTTTATTGCTGACAATATTGCTTGGTTAAATATGTATCTGAGAACCAGTTCCTTTGAATTCTGGCAATAAAGTTTTTGCTGCTTGGTGGCTGGTGTTTTAATTTTAACTCTTACCGGCTCGGCACCTGTGGCTCAAGCGGCTAAGGCGCCAGCCACATACACCTAAGGTGGTGGGTTCGAATCCAGCCCAGACCCGCCAAACAACAATAATGGCTGCAACCAAAAAAATAGCCGGGCGTTGTGGCGGGCGCCTGTGGTCCCAGCTACTTGGGAGGCTGAGGCAGGAGACTCGCTTGAGCCCAGGAGTTGGAGGTTGCTGTGAGCAGTGAAACCATGGCACTCTACCCAGGGGCTCAGCTTGAGGCTCTGTCTCAAAAAAAAAAAAAAAATTTAACTCTTACCCATACTTTGGTTGCTTAGGTCAATTTAGAATGTATGAAGTATTAATTAAATTAATTTTTTTATTTGGCGTGTTTCTGTTGCATCTATCACAAGACTTACATAGAAAGGTAGAAGTAGAAATTGTGTCTTAATTGCCATTTTCTCTTATAGATACGGGAGTATGAATGGATTCATTCCCAAACTAAAAGGCTGAAGTTCAATGCACTTATAACAACGTATGAGATCCTCTTAAAAGATAAGGTGTGTAATTGGTAGCTAAAAGGCTAAATCTTGTGTAGTGTGACTTATCTAAATGGTAGAGTCTATACCCCTACCTGCTATGTTTTTTTTCTTTCTCTATTTAAAAAGACAAGCAAATGAACAACCCAGAACATTCCTCAGAGAATGAAAAGGTTATAAATAGAAAAACAGAACCTTAGAGTTAAAGGGGACCTTAGGTCACCTAGTCCAGTTAAACAGAATGGAAGGGCATTTAGGCCTGTAACTTGCCTGAGGTTATAGTTGGTCATTGGCAACTGGGCTCAAATACTATCTTGGGCATTTCGCATCATATCATTGTTAAGGCAGTTCTTCAGAACACATGATATGAATGGTCTCTGTGAGGAAGACAGAAAATGAAACTCTTTAAGTAACTCCTTTTTTCAGTTACTAAGAAATATGGTGGGGATAGATCCAGTTGGTAATAAGTGCAAAAAAGTTCGATTTGGTGGCTCTTAATGTTTCTGTGTTTCGGGGCTGAGGTGGAGAATAGGCAAGAGAAGGAGCTTAATAAAGGGGAGACACACAATCACATAGTTTTTGGTTTTCTTTTGTTTCTGCCTAGCCTACCAATTAATTAATTAACTTTTTTTGGGACACAGTCTTGCTGTGTCACCATCGGTAGAGTGCTGTGGTGTCACAGCTCACAGCAACCTCAAACTCCTGGGCCCAGGCTGGGCTCGAACCCACCAGCCTCGGTGTATGTGGCTGGCGCCCTACTCAGGGAGCTGCGGGCACTGAGCCCAGCATACCAGTTTTTGTGTTCTTGCTCTGGGGCAGGCAGTAAAATACCTGGTGTAAGAGGCCTCACTATGCTTTTAGATGATGACATGGTCTTTTGAATAGACACTAATCTGGCAACTAGCAAAATAAACAGAAGAGTTCTAATATACATTAAGTCAATGTGTTTATGTATACCTTCGTGGTGGTATTTGTTCCAATTTTAGTATATGTGCTGCTGAAGCGAGCACCGTGGTGGTATTTGTAACAGAGGTAATTAATGCTTGAAAGCACTTTTAGGATCCCTTCTGACCTGATGGCTCATTCTGTTTTGTTTTTACTTTAGACTGTGCTGGGCAGTATTAACTGGGCCTTTCTGGGAGTGGATGAAGCCCATCGTTTGAAGAATGATGACTCTTTATTGTATAAAACTCTGATTGATTTCAAGTCCAACCATAGGCTCCTGATTACGGGGACCCCTCTTCAGAATTCCCTCAAAGAGCTCTGGTCCTTGCTGCACTTTATTATGCCGGAGAAGTAAGCTCCTTCCTCTGTATTTCAAAAGATGATAGAATGTCTGAAATGCCAGTGCTTTTTAACTTTCTTAGTAGACATTAAGTGATAACAAACAGATGGGCATGCTTTAGGGAAAGGAAAACTGCAAATGGAGGCAAGAATAATAGTAAAATGTTTCATTATAAATGATAGAAGGCAGAAAACATAGCCTGTTATGGAAGAAGGCATATTGTCTGCCAAAAGTTAGTTTGAATTAGTTAATGCATTTAGGAAATAATTGTTAAATAGGAAACATAAGACTCACTGTTGTTTCAAGGTAATGGATATAATTGAAATACACAAAGTATCCAATCTGACAAGCTTTAAAAAAACATTTTAGATCTAAGTCTTTCCTAATAGGAGCATCAGCTTAAGTTTTATTCAGATCTTTAACTAATTAAATAACTATGAAATGTCTTTACTGCTTTACTGAACGATTTTTATGGAGAGATAGTATGCCCATTTTATAAAACTTAAAATTATCTGATTTTGTTCAGTGCTACTTAGAATGAAATCTAAATTTATTACTCTGATTTGAAAGGCTTTACTCAGTCTGACCCCTTGCCAATATACTCTGACCTATCTCATCCCTATACTGTTCTGATCATCTTTCTATTCCTTAAACATGCCAACCTATAACTCCTCTTTCTTGTGTGGAATTTTCCTTATCTGCACATGGCCAACAACCTTAGTATTTTTGCCTCAGCTTGTATGACCACTTCCCTTCAGAGATCTTTCTAGAGTACCTAACCTAACGTAGCCTTGTTAAGACATACTTGTTAAGATCTCTTTTTTTTTTTATATATAGCACTTCTTTTTGTTTTCATTTATTTTCCTCATTTGTCTCATGTCCTTAGGTTATTCATGTGAAAATATCAGGGATCATCTTTGCTTGATTCATCACTGGTTCACATTGCCTAGAATAGCACCTGCTTGTAGTATTCAATTAATAATTGAACTCAGCAATTTAGTTAATAGTTGTCCTTATCCAATTGGCAGGTGGTGAATGCTCTATAATCTTTTTTTCTCTTCTTACTTTCAGAAAGAGTACCTCCTGTGTGCCATGTACAGAGTCAGGCATATCGGGCAGCCTAATGAACAACATAGTCATTGTTTCTTTCCCTGTGTATCATTAATGTTTTATTAAACAGCTTTGAGATAATTTGCATACTACAAAGTATACCATTATATTTAATATTTTTAGTACATTTATAGAATTGTAATATCATCAACATAATCCACTTTTACAACATTTATGTCACTCAAAAAATTCCCTCTGAAGTTAATCTCTTCTTCTCCCTCTAACCTGAGGCAGTGCTAATCAGCTTTTTTTGGTAGGGATTTATCTTTCCTAGACATTTTATGTAAGCAAAGTCATATAAAATGTAGGATTTTGTTTCTGGCTTCTTTCACTTAGCATAATTTTTTGAGATTCATCCATGTCAGACCCCATTAGCAATTGTTCTCTTTTATTGGTGAATGATTCTATTTCGTTGTACACTTAGTCACTATTAAGAACATTTGAATCGCTTCATTTGTAGGCTGTTACATCTTTGTGTGGGCATATGTTTTTCTTTCTTTTGCTTAGATCCTTAGAATTGCTGGATTGTTGTTTGGGAATTTAACTTTTTATATACTGTCACACTGTTTTTCAAGGTGCCTATACCATTGTACATTTCTACCAGAAATACTTGAAGGTTTTATTTTCTCTGTGTTGTCAGTCTTTTTGATTCTAGCCATTTAGGTGGTTATGTATCTGGTTTTTACTTGCATTTCCATATTGACTAATGATTTAGAACATCTTTTAATGTCAGTAGCCATTCGTATGTCTTTGAAGTGTCTAAATCTTTTGCCTTTTTTTTTGTTGTTACAATTTTTGGCTAGGGCCGGGTTTGAACCCCCCACCTCTGGTATATGGGGCCGGCGCCGTACTCCTTTGAGCCACAGCCACCGCCCAATGTTTTGCCATATTTTTAGTTAGATTATTTGTCTTACTGTTAATTAAAGAGGCTTTTTATTTCTTTTTAAATTTTCGTATTTTTTAAATCCACCCATCTACACACTGATGTTTCTATTTGAAAAAAAATATTCTAGAGACTGAGTGTGGTGGCTCACGCCTATAATCTTAACACTTTGGGAGGCTGAGGTGGGAGTATCACTTGAGTCTAGGAGTTTGAGACTAGATTGAGTAACATGGTGAGATCCTATCCCTGCAAAAAATAAAAAAAACAAGCTGGGCTTAGTGGCATATGCCTTTATTCCTAGCTACTGAGGAGGTTGAGGCAGGAGGATTGTTTGAGCCCAGGAGCTGAAGGTTGTAGTGAACTGTGATGATGCCATTGCCCTCTCTAGTTCCAGCAACGGAGCAAGACTTCGTCTCAAAAGAAAAACAAAACAAACTATATATATATGTATATATATGTAATACAATGTACTTTATTACTACAGGGGGTGTCTGACATACAGTTTTCTAATTTTGTGGTGGTGTGAAAGATAACACATTCAGTAGAAACTGCACTTCAAGTATCTACTACATTCTTTATTTCACTTTTAGTGCCAGTCCTTTTCTGCATGGTGACTCTGACCAGGAGAGCATGACTAACCTTACTGTTAAGACTTTTCAATCAACAAGTTCCTTTGCTGTTCTCAAAACATGGAACTTAGTATTTATTAAAGATTGAAAAAGATAAGATTGAAGAATTCAGCTTATAAGGATAATTATGTGCTGATGTGTACCTCATGCTTACTCCACAAAAATAATTCCATTTGACAACACATACTTCATAGATGATGGCTTTTAGTTTTGGCATTTTTTTTTTTTATACTTTTGTTTCTATTGTCTAGGGCAGTCTCTCTTTTTTATTTTTATTTTTGAACTTTTACATATTTCCTGTGTGAATTTTAGCATATGATTTTTATTGCATTGGTTTAATTTTCTTCTTTGTTGTTTCTCAAGTAAACGTCTGTTTTTCTAAAACCCCAGGGTCTGGAAAATTCTAAAAATCAGATTATTTCTACTTTTATGAGAGACAAGTATTACGTATAAAAGTTAATAGTGAGGTAGATCTAAAATAATGAATTTCTAGATGTGGCATGGAATCTTTATACTTACCACTGTGATCTTATACCTTTTACATAGCTGATTTTAGAAATTAATAATTATCTGTTTGGGGAGATAGGAAACTTTTTCTTAAAAGATCTGATAGAGGCTCGGCGCCTATAGCTCAACCAGCTAAGGCGCCAGCCACGTACACCTAAGGTGGCGGGTTCGAATCCCCAGCCCAGACCCGCCAAACAACAATGACGGCTGCAACCAAAAAAAAAAAAAAAACCGGGCGTTGTGGCGGGCGCCTGTAGTCCCAGCTACTTGGGAGGCAGAGGCAGGAGACTCGCTTGAGCCCAGGAGTTGGAGGTTGTTGTGAGCTGTAATGCCATGGCACTCTACCCAGGGGGACAGCTTGAGGCTCTGTCTCAAAAAAAAAGATCTGATAGTAAGTATTTTGTGCCTAAAGGCTATATGTTTTTTTTTTTTTTAATAACTACCCGTCTCTATTGTTTAGAATGAAAGCAGCCATAGACAATTCATGAACAAATGGATTTGATTTATATATCCATATTAGATATGTACCTATATGTATTAATTCTCCTTAGTGTATACATGTAACAAAATGTTATCTCATTAACTAATACATTAAGAGTACAGTAGTTAAGTAAAAATATTTGTTGCCTAAAACAGTAGGGAGGAAGTAAATCTGTCTCCCAGGTGTTTAGAAAATTACCTGCAATAATCCTACTGATTTCTAGTCACTTTGTACATTTTGTGTGTGAATATCATACTCAGCATTGAGCTAGTTCAATTTACCTAGTTCCTTTTAACCTCTTGTTGGTTTTATACCTCATTTTATTTTATATTATTAGAATATTTACTTAATAGTATAGAAGCAGATGACAAAATACAATTTACCTTAACTTTACCAGGCTGTAGACTTTAATGATGATGTTATCTATTTATTCCAGAAGATCATTTCATCTGTTTCTTGGAAGATTATTGTTTTAGGTATTACCAGATATTAACAGGGCTCATGTTGATAGGCCTAGCAATATCTGGTGAAATACTTGGCCGTTTATGAGTTCAGAAGTAACAGTGGAGTGTTGAACCTGTTATATCCATTGTCAGTGTTTGCATGTGCTATCTCTGCCTTGTCCATCTTATTGGAGATGATGTGCTTTGGAGTAGTTGTAGGTAATGTTAGTCTTCGGGGTTTGTTAGTTTGGAACTTAATTGGCTTCAGCAGAGCAGGTCTACTGGTCTCACAGGTGGACTGTGGGCCAATGATTAAGCTTTTAGGTCTGGCCTCAGTTTATTAACCATGTGTCTTTACCTACTGAGCTTTAGTCTATGCACAAAAGTAAGCTAGATTTTTCAAGTGCTTTGTTGGCCTCCTAGCAAGATAAATCACATTTTTCTTAATCCTCATGAAATAAATTTTCTTTTTTTTTTATTTCTAAAGTAACTTTATTCTAATTTTTCATTCTGGATTTCTGCCACAAATCCTAATGAAACAAATACGGTTAAGATTTATACATGAGAATTTTTTTTTTTTTTTGAGACAGAGTCTTAAGCTATTGCCCAGGGTAGAGTGCCATAGTGTTAAAGCTCACAGCAGCCTCCAACTCTTGGGCTCAACTAGTCCTCTTGCCTCAGTTTTTCCATTTTTAGTGGAGATGGGGGTCTCACTTGTGCTTAGGCTGGTATTGAACCTGTGAGCTCAGGTAGACCACTTGCCTCAGCCTCCCGGAATGCTAGGATGGCCAACATAAGCCACCATGCCCAGCCTATACATGAGAAATTTTTATCTAAAGAGTTTAGATGGGATTATGAGTGACAAATTCATTAGTAAAATGTGTCTTCGAGTTGTATTGAATTGAGGATTGAAATTGAGTCACTTTTATTGATCTTTATGTCTGGGCTCCCATCTTGTTTACTGTCATTATAATCCATTAACTTTTAACCTGTGAAGTAAATTTTATTGATGGAAGTTATATAATGAACTTTTACCTTTGAGTGATGATAGCTATAATATTGTCACTTATTTTTTCACCTCTGAATTTTATTTTTCCATGAAATGTACTCATCAAAAGATAGTTTGATTAATTTTCCTGCATAACATTTTATAAGAATAATTTGCTTATATTGTTTGATGTACTAGAATATTTTATAAACTCTAGTTTATAAAATAGGTTTTCTATTCTCTTAATGTGAGAATTGGAAACCTGCTGTTATGCAACGTAGAATGGACTTGATGTGAGTTTGATTTGCCCTTTCCTTTTTGTTTTCCCTTCCTTTTTATTGAAGAGCTCTAGTGATTGATAAATTTTGTCATTCCTTGTAGGAGAGATTCATTTTTTTAAAGGTCTTTTTTTTCCCACTTAATTCCTAGCAAAAGAAATTTTATTCATTTTCCCTTACTGTAACTAAGTAACACTCTATATACTGTTTTATCTCTAGGTTTGAGTTCTGGGAAGATTTTGAAGAAGACCATGGCAAAGGGAGAGAGAATGGCTACCAGAGTCTTCATAAGGTGCTAGAGCCTTTCCTTCTCCGGAGAGTCAAGAAGGATGTGGAGAAATCCCTTCCTGCCAAAGTGGAACAGATTCTCAGGGTAGAGATGTCGGCCCTTCAGAAACAGTATTACAAGTAAGTTCTTCTTTAAGCCTAAAGAAATTGAGATCAGTACCATAAAGCAGTAAGATAGATAGCTGATCAACTATGTCCTTTTTCAGTGAATCCTAAACATAGACTAAGAAGTGGTATATTTACAGTCAGAAAATGGGTGGTTTATTAAATAAATATCTCCCAACCAGAAGATGAGTATGGTAGGGAATACAGAGTACAGACAAATAATTAATTAAAGCATAGTGTTATTTAATAACAGGCAAATGCAGGGGCCTCTGTAAATTAAGAAGAAGCTCTCACCTCTGTATTGTTGGATGTATTCTCTTTCCTCTCCAGTGTTCTGTTTGGCATGGGGAAATTATGTGCTGGGCTTGGATTATGCTATGTTAAAGCCAAAGTAATAGATTTGGAAAAAGAAATAATGATGGGTTTGGGACAGAACTGGTCATAGGCTTTAATTTTGATGATTTAAATTTGGATATGAGGCTGGGCACGGTGGCTCCTGCCTGTATTCTAGCACTCTGGGAGCCCGAGGCAGGTGGGTTACTTGAGCTCATGGGTTCAAGACCAGCCTGAGCAAGAATGAGACCCTGTCTCTACTAAAAAAAAAAAAAAAAAAAAAACCAAAAAAACTCCCAAAAAACCTAAGGCAAGAGGATCACTTGAGCCAAAGAGTTGGAGGTGCTGTGGACTATGATGATGCCATAGCACTCTACCCAGAGCAACAGCTTGAGACTCTTGTTTTTAAAAAAAAAAAAGTTGGATCTGGAATACGAAAACACTGCTGTGAAAGTTAGTCTTTTTGAGTAAGAGATCTGGTAATCTTTAACAATCAATTTATGGCCAGTATTAGTTTATCTGTATAGCTTCCTATCTCTTTCCGTCTTCTTGTTATTTTCAGACATACTGGTCCAGATCATAAATTATCTATCTATATGTAGAGATAGATATATAATCATAAATATATATTTAATATGTATCACTAAAAGATCTTTTTCGTTTGTTTTGTTATTAAGGATAATTTCAATACTGAGATCTTATCTAAAAAGCCCAGTAATTCACCATCAGTTTTGTAATGTCAGATAAGTGATTATATTTTCTTAGTTTTCACATGCATACACACATTTTTTTGCCCTTGGCCTTATAAACTTTTTGAATGCCAAAACTGAATTTAAGTTCTATAGACTTTTCTCAGCCTAGATTTTGCTGATTCCAGCTCCGTGGCATCACTGAACATTCTTCTCTGAACTTGTGTTTTCTGCGTCCTCATAGAGAAGTGTACAGGCTTGATTAGGCTCAGATCCAGGGTGACTATTTCAGAGAATGCAAACATATATTACTTTATAGGAGGTCTGTCTTTTTATGATGTTAGCAACAAATGGTGAACATTGCCTAGGTCCATTAATTCATTAGGGACTAGAAAACTAGCACTATTATTCGAAAACTGCTTTGTGTATAGAATGAATTAGGCTGGTGTAGTAAAGAAGTTGGATTTCTACGATGGGTATAAGGTGAATAGTATAAAAGCTCTGTACTGTTTAACTAGAATTTGCGATGTATTTTTATTCTTAAAAACAAATTTCCTAATTTTCAGATTTGGAATATTCAGCCTATGTGCATATGTACACATACACACATACAAACACACTTAAGTATGTATAAGTAAAGCATATATGTGTGTGTGTGTGTATTTTTATGTATAAAGTTTGTGTATATGAGTATAAATGTGTGCATATATTATGTATAGGGAGGAGTAGAGAGAGTTGTTTCCTTTTAATATTTCTGTGTTCAGTGAGATTGAAGTGCCCAGTGGAATCATTAACCTTTCCAGTTCTGTGCGGAGATGTGAAGGATCATGGTTAGGTGGCAGGAGACACAACATAAAATACCCTGTCTGTTTTTCTAACTTTCATAGATTTGTTTTTTTGATAATACTGCTTTTTCTTATAATCTGGTATCCACAACTTGGTTTCTTTATGTTTAGTAGTGTCATGATCATTTTAATTTGTAGATGGATTCTGACCAGGAATTATAAGGCTCTTGCCAAAGGAACAAGAGGCAGCACATCTGGTTTCCTTAATATTGTAATGGAACTGAAAAAATGCTGCAACCACTGCTATCTGATTAAACCCCCTGAAGAAAATGAAAGGGAAAATGGACAGGAGATCCTTCTGGTATGTAGTTCTTCTTTTTCATAATTACTTTTTCAAAAACAATGTAGTTTCTTTGAGTGCTTTTCATCAAAATCCTCCTTTTTATACTTGGTAGTTACCTTTAAGGAACATTAAGAGAAGCTTTAAAAGCTTGTTAAAACAAGTTGAAAAACTTAAGAAAAATCTGGAAAGCATAATATTACAGATACAAAGCGAATTTCAGGAACTGTTGATTAGCCTTTGGGTTGCCGAGGGCTTTAAAATATTTAAATATGATGTTTAAGAGTATGAATTCTTGGCAGTTAAGGGCAGACTGATGTATGCGTTTCAGCTTAATGATTAGAATGTCTTTTGAACTTTAGTCCCTGATCAGGAGCAGTGGGAAGCTGATTCTGTTAGACAAACTGTTGACAAGACTTCGTGAAAGGGGAAACAGAGTCCTTATCTTCTCTCAAATGGTGAGAATGTTGGATATTCTGGCCGAGTACCTGACTATTAAACACTACCCTTTCCAGGTAAAGTAATTGGTGGGGGGGGGGTGTTTATCACTTTCCATTTTCCTCTCCCGCCTCTACCCCCAAGTTGTATGCTTTGCTTGTTAAAGTAGAAAACAAGAGGTTTTTTTTGCTTTAAAAAAAATAGAAATTAAAGGTTCAAAAAGGTCTTGATTTGTACTTCCTTGCTTTTAGTAAATTCAACTCTATGAAAATGCTCATGTGAAGATCATTCTTTTTTTTTTTTTTAAGACAGAGGCTTACTATGTTGCCCTCAGTAGAGCGCTGTGGCATCACAGCTCATAGCAACCTCAAACTCTTGGGCTTAAGCGATTCTCTTGCCTCAGCCTCCAAGTAGCTGGCAGTTGTCACTGTTGATTTTAGTTGGCCCTGGCTGGGTTTGAACCCGCCAGCCTTGATGTATGTGGTTGACGCCCTATCCACTGAGCTACAGGTGCTGCCAAGATCATTGTTTTCTTGAAGAGGGTTGGGTGTTGAGAATTAGAGAAAGTGAAATGGGGCAAGAGGAGAAAGTATGTTATGTTAGGTAGTGTCTTACATCTCTAAATTTTTAATAAAGGGAGATAGGATAGATTAGTGAACCTGGTTCCAGAAGCCGAAATCCTAGAAAGAAGGAAAAAAAGGTGTGGCAGTATTGTATATCCACCCTAAAAGATGTTGGTCCTGGCTGTGAGGCTGGGAATGCAGAGGAGGAGTGGTATTACTGGAGCAAGTACTGATGGACTCCCCTCTTTTCTTCAGAGCTGTTAACTACTGATCTTCACTTGGTTATCTCTTATAGGGAAAAAGTTTCTTCATTGTAAAAATAATAGAATGGATATTAGAACTTATTTCTGATCTATTTACAGACATGTAGACATTTATGTAGTTTATTTGACTTTTGGCATAATATTTGTAATAGTCTTTTGATTTTAATCTTTATTTTTAAAAATGATTTTTCTTTTTAAACTTTGAATGGATGGACTGTTCTACCAACTCTCATAATTACACTGGCATTGGAGAAACTTTTAAGTCAGTACTTATCTCCTAAGAAGGCTCAGCTTTTTAGACTCACTAGCAGATTACCTTTCAAAATACCCTGAAAGGCATTAGTATGTCCATAATATCTTTTAGCAGCTGCCTTAGAATAGAAGTTAATACTTTATTATCAAGAAACAGCAAAAGGACAATTACATCTCACTGCATCTTGATTACTATGAGCTTTCATTTCTAGGTAATTGTGTGCCATTTAAATCAAGAATGCATTATTCTTCTTTCTAGGGAATAATTAAATTGGGGTTCTTCAGGTCTGTTGTACCTAATCAGTAACTTTTAGGCAGTTGTTTTAATATCCTCTGTTAAACAGAATATTAAAAGGAGGGCATTAGGTTTTCTGATTTCAGATATAGGCTGGTGAACCTGCATGTTTGGTTCATGTTGTAAAAATAGTTCTGAGTAGAATTGTAGTCAGGGGAAAAGATAGGGGCTTCCTACACGTGAGGGTAACTTGGGTTGAACTTGTTTGACAGAGTTGTGAGGAAAAGTAGGTCCTTCCATTGGCTCTGCTATCAGCCACTCACCTCTTGAGTCAGTTTTGCCTTATGTAGAATGAGGTAATTTGTTCGTCTCAAGTGGTGATTGTTAGACAATGAGATGTGAAAATGATTTTGAAGAGTGAGAAATGCTTTATAATGTATACAGCATATAGGTGATAATTCTTTCATGTTTGTTTTGTACCTAGAACTACCATACATGCTCCAGCGAAAGAATTGTGTATACTAGTAAAAACGTGAATTTCTGTGTTGTTTGGATGTTGGAATACTTTTCTCTGATTTCAGAGTGTCATTTTTGGAAAAGTTAGGATTTATGGTTAATTCATATTAACATTCTCAATATTTAAACAAAATGTTTTCCAAACAAAATTATATAAATAATTATTTGGTTTGTGTAGCACTTCATAGTAGCAGTATTTTTAGCCACATTAGCTAAGAAGCATCATTTTTCTGCAGGAAGTAATTATTACTAGTGGCCATTGATTCTATTTTCTAATCTCTTCAGTACCTCCAGATAGAGAAATATGTCAACCTTGTAAGAACTGTTAATAGGTCTTGGTGGACATTCTGATCCTAAACAGCCCCTTGAATCAGAAGCTTCTGACCTTAAGTGTGTAACTGGAGAGCTTGGGTCAGGTGGGGTATACTCCTTAAGCACAGCCCCTACATAGCGCTTTGCCAGGCCATGCCAGTTATTTTTACTCAGAGGGTGTTCAGGTGATAAAGATCCCAAGTGTGGTGTTCTATTTTGAGCATAGCTGATCTTCCTCTCTTACGATTTTCTTTTGGTTTATTTTTACAGCGTCTGGATGGTTCCATCAAGGGAGAAATCCGAAAACAGGCACTGGACCACTTTAATGCCGATGGGTCTGAGGTATATACTATGCATGGCTTTGTTACTTGGGCAGCTTGGGCTCTGTATCAAGGGGAAAGTCTTCCTAGCTTAATGTGTTCTGTTTCAGAAACAATTTGCAGGCAATTCTCCTGTGGAGAATGAGAAATCCCTAACATAAAATATAGTTATTTTGTTGTTTGTCACTTCGGAAAAATACATATATGCTTATTTATCTTCCCTGTTTTCGATTAATAACTGAGGAGTTCTCCAGTGGTTTCCAGATGCCAAATTCTGGGTCTGGAAGAGCAGTAAGGCAGTAAGGGGGAGGGTTGGCCATTATTAATTTTGACATATGTTATATCAAAAGGTTCCAGTAGGTACTATTTTGTTGAGTAAGGCTTGAAAAATGTGTTTGACATTTCTAAAGTTTGTTGGACTCCTAATATGATGTGACTTAATGTTTTTGGTATAAAAGCAAAATGTTTAAATCAGTAGTGTCCAGTTTTAATTTGGGATTGTAAAGTATTTTGTTTTGGGGGCATATATAGTAGAGCTACTTGGGACCAATTAGAAACTTTGATAACTGGTTTGTACATATAACGTAATAAGATGCCATGGAATTTGGGAGTAGAGAAAAGAACTTTTAGTATAAATAAAACTATAAAAATGTACAGAGGTGAAGGAAGAAGTGGAGAAGTAGAATTAGAAGTGTTTTAGAGAGAATGTTAATTTCTAGAGCCTGGGCCACTTTTTTTTTTTTAGACAGAGCCTCAAGCTGTCCCCCTGGGTAGAGTGCCGTGGCATTATAGCTCACAGCAACCTCCAACTCCTGGGCTCAAGCGAGTCTCCTGCCTCTGCCTCCCAAGTAGCTGGGACCACAGGCGCCCGCCACAACGCCCGGCTATTTTTTGGTTGCAGCCGTCATTGTTGTTTGGCGGGTCCAGGCTGGGGATTTGAACCCGCCACCTTAGGTGTACGTGGCTGGCGCCCTAGCCCGTTGAGCTATAGGCGCCGAGCCTTTTCTTTTTAAATAAATAGATTAGACATAACCTTTTGCTTTCTGAAGAGCTTCTTAATATCTGTGCCTGTTACTACAGAATGTTTTGTGTTTTTGTCTCTAGATTTGTAGAAGTCCTAGGTAGACACGTATTCTGGCTATTTCTTTTTTCTGTTTTAGAGACAGAGTCTCACTTTATTGCCCTTGGTAGAGTGCTGTGGCATCACAGCTCACAACAACCTCAAACTCAGGCTTAGGCGATTCTCTTGCCTCAGCCTCCCAAGTAGCTGGGACTACAGGTGCCTGCCACAAGGCCCAGCTATTTTTAGTTGTTGTTGTTAACAGTTTGGCTGGGGCCAGTTTCGAACCTGCCACTCTTGGCATATGAGGCTGGTGCCCTACCCACTGAGCCACAGGCGCTGCCCTAATCTGGCTATTTCTATAACCTAAGATTTTACTTCTTCAGAAGTTTTAGGCATTAATCTGTTTAGAACCAAGGCTCTGAATTTGTAAAATCATAAGATTCCAATACTTAATACTGCTGTGAAGTTTAAATTTGGTAATCAACATAAAGAGCTAATCTTTTGTCAGTTATTTTTATTATGCAGGATGTTCCAAATGTACTTTTATTTACAAAGTATTCATTACAAAATTTTACAAAATATTTACAAAGTATTCTCCACGTGTTGGCTACTTACCTCACTATAAAATTTTGTAATGAATATTTTTAGAGGTACATTTAGTTAGTTTCTCATTTTTCCTATGTATAATGACACGATAGAGGTGGCTTTTGGGACACCTTGTGTTGTATTTGTTGTAATTAGTTTTGTATTTCTTACTGTTAGCTTAAAGAATAATGTTACATATTGCCATTTCTCAGAAAAAAAATAAGGTTGCTTTTTGTATAGAATATTTAGTATAGAATAAATTATATGTATGGAATATTTTTATGTATAGAATATTTAGTTTTCTACCTTTTTTTCTGTAGTGTTTTAAAAATTAAATATTTATTACTGGGGAAAATACATATAATGCCCATTTAGAAAATTTGGACGATGGTAAAGAGTACAAAGAAGAAAAATTGGTACCAAAGCCTCACCCCAGGCACAACTTGTATTTACACCCTTTACATGTACTGCTGTTCATGCTGGATGGAAACATTTATTTCTTTATATGTTTACCTAGTGGGGATCATGCTGCATATATAGTTGTCACCTTTTCTTCAAAATTATACATTTCCCCATGTCATTAAAAATTTTACAAAATTTTAATTTCTAATATTCATGCTTTCACCATTATTTAACCATTTTATTTATTTTATTTTATTTTATTTTTATTACTTTTTTTAGAGACAGAGTCTCACTTTGTCGTCCTGGATAGAGTGCTGTGGCGTCACAGCTCACAGCAACTTTCAGCTCTTGGGTTTAGGTGATTCTCTTACCTTAGCCTGGGACTACAGGCGCCTTTCACAACGCCTGGCTATTTTTCTGTTGCAGTTTGGCCAGGGCTGGGTTTGAACCTACCACCCTCAGTATATGAGGCTGGCACCTGATGCATTGAGCCATAGGTGCTGCCCTATTTTATTTTATTTTATTTTTTTTTAATTTTTTTGGGTAGTTTTTGGCTGGGGTTGGGTTTGAACCCACCATCTCTGGTATTTGGGGCTGGCGCCCTACTCCTTGAGCCACAGGTGCCGCCCTATTTAACCATTTTCTTTTCTTAGGGAGACTATTGTCTCTTCTCTCTCTATCTCTTTTTTGCAGTTTTTGGTCAGAGCTGGGCTTGAACCCGCCACTCTCAGTATATGGGGCTGGTCCCCTACTCCTTTGAGCCACAGGTGCCACCCTTTAACCATATTATAGTTGGATATTTAGATAAGAGGGGATGAGTATTTAAAAAAATTTTTTGATATACTTTACTAAATCACCTTTTTCCATGTATGAATATTTTCCTTTTTATCTCACCTTTAGCAGTATTGAGTTTCATAATTTTATGTCAATTTGCTAATAGTTGTGAACAACTTATTATAATTTATGCTATCCTTAAAAATAAAAAATAAAACTCAACAGAAAGCAAGCAGGTGGTAAGGTATAGGAGGGAGGGGTAAAGTCACACCTAACGAGTACAATGTACCCTAACGGGGTGATGGGTATACTTATAACTTTGTCCCAAACTATATAAAAGCAATTCATGTAACCAAAACATTTGTACCCCAGTAATATTCTGAAATTTTAAAAGTCAATACAAAAAACCATATTATCTTTGATAAAGAGTGACAGAAAATCGTTGAGAAGATGATTCAGACCCGTCTTCCTCTCGTTTAGGTGTCTCACCCTTTACTGCCTTCTGTCTATCTTCAGGCTTCTCTTTGTAGTGTGCTGGTGCTTGCTGTTTATCCCTGGGGTCTCAGACTATGTGACAGACTGTGTGCCTAGACACAACTGATTGAGGAGTTTTTTTACTGAAATTGTTTAAAAGTTCTCTTGAGGCAGCTGTCTCCAGTTTTATTTCTTTGTCATAATGCTGTTGAACGTGGCTGTTAGAACATGGGCACCTTTTCATTGCATGTGTACAAGCGCACTAAATATAGCCCTTCATCAAGATACAACCCAAAGCTGCCAAGTTGGAGTGCCGCTTCTTTGCCAAAAATGCATTAGCTTTTGACGTAGGTGATGAAATTCCCTGAAAATAGAAATATTTTTGTTTTTTTGGTGTAGCTTATATAGTTTATTCTTTTGCTTCTGAGCTTCTCCCCAGAAGCTGCCAGGCATGCTGTGGTTGCCCCGTGTCCATTTGATCATTGCTGTGGAAACTAGACTATGTCAGTGCTGGGTCATGTCACATGTCACTCTTCAGTCAAACCTGTTCTGGTTTTCTTTTTGCATGTTTTGATGATTGAGGATTCTCTGCTTCTCAGCAGTTCAGTATGTGATCTGTTTAGTACAGTGTTTCTGTATTTCTCACCTTCCTAACAAATGGATATATATTTACATAATAAAGTATCTTTGTTTATATTAGCTGCCTTTCATGGCATAATCTGTCTTTCCATAGAAAATAACTTGTCTACATAATGTGCTGGAATGAGTAATCCTCATGATAAATAAGTTTGTCTGTTTTTATTTCCTTTTTCTAACTTTTTGTACACTAGGTTTAGTCAGGAGATAACACTAAGTCTCTCGCTCCCATTGCCTTACTGGATTCTACTTTACTCCTTTGTACGCTGCAGTGACTCTTCTTCTTAATCAAATAAAAATTCACTGTGCCATCAAGTCCCCCTACATTCTTTTAGCCTCCATAAAGTTTGTCCATCATATCTCACTTTTCTTCACACCTGCAGGGGTTTCCAGGTATAAGGGCTTATTGGACTATGAAACTGTTTCTGAGAAGGCCACTGCATAAAGTAGTATATTGCATTGTGTACAGGACTTCTGTTTCCTGCTTTCGACAAGGGCTGGTGGCCTGGGAATCAATTTGGCTTCAGCGGACACAGTGGTCATCTTTGACTCTGACTGGAACCCCCAGAACGACTTGCAGGCACAAGCCCGAGCCCACAGAATTGGTCAGAAGAAGCAGGTCAGTGCAGAGAGGCTTCTGGATATGGCTTTGGGGTGGGGTGTAAGGGAGCTTGATTTAACTTTTTCAGAATGTTTAGAAAAAGCTTTTTCCCCCATTTTGCTCTTATTTTCCGCAAGGGCGGATTTCTGTTTGTTAACTAGTTCAGAGAAGAGATGTCATCTTTGGCATCTGAAGCTGAACTATTAACATTAAGGATCCTTTCCCTTTCTCTTCTTAAAGAATATACCACCAGTGACTGTCTGTGCATTTATTCTAAGAGATATATGATAATTAGATGTAATTAATATGGTGAAGTTGTTATGTATTCTAGCAGTGTTCACAGTGGTCTTGTATTTATTGTACATGACAATGTATAATAAAACCATTTTTTTCTTTTGTTTATGAATTTCAGAGTCTATTCTGTATTGGATAACTCATAAGTTTAATTCTTGGCTGAAGATTCTGTTTTTGTGAAACTTTTCTTCAGTGAAACTGATTATTTTTTAGCAAGCTTTTGTCATTAGAGTAGGCCATACTAATAGATTTTTAAAGGCAGTTTGACTTAAGAATGTAACTTGCTATGGATACTAAAAATACTACATTTACTTAAGCTACCCATTTGGATGAGTAGCTTAGAGTCATTTGTGGTATAGAGAGCAGGCTTTTTTTTTTTTTTTTTT